TCACAGAAATTTCGGACGCTTTAATGCATGGAAATTCTGAAGAATATGAATCTTTAAACTTCTGCTTTGATAATTTTGGCTTCTTCATTCGAGGCAGCATTATGATTAAAAATCTTTCACCTGATTCACAGTTCACAAGACACACGCTAAGCTCTCGCCGTAAACACAATTCGGCTACACAATGCAGCCGAATGCAGCCTAAACACGCATCTTTGAGGAACCTGGGAGACAGACAATTGGGTGGAACTATTGATAAGTCGTTAACGGTTGGAGTTACTGATCTACGATTGGCTAATTCTTCAAAACTAGGAACGCACTCAACACGTGATATATGATAACACGAGTATTCAGCCAATCATCGGATGAATTAGTTGGTTCCGTTTTGCGTACTGGTTCTGTTTCTGTAAAATCCGTAGTTTTTTCCATACTTTTCGTAGCTCGTAGTTTTTCATGAATTTCCGTAGAAACTATGGAGAATCCGTAGTAGTTGGAGTCTATGGCAATGTCTCAAAATAATTTTAAAATGAGCATTTCTTTATAATTTCCGATACACAGTTCGACGCGCTGGAGATAAAAAGTCCCCCCCTAGTGAGTTGCCATTGCTCGCTTTTAAATCATTGAGTTTGTTATTCAAAAATTCGTTAAAAGTTTTACAAAATATGAAATCGATAATAAAACAAATTCCAAATGCCTATATTCGCAGTAGGATTACGTGATTCAAAATTGGATGGCTCTAGATACCTTTGTTTTATTACAATACGAGAAATATACATATATTTTTCATTATTTAATTTCTTCAAATATAATGCAGGACTCATAACATTTTGTGGCAACATTTGAAAAGTGAACCGACATTTATAGAAGTCAGACGCAAAATGCCAAAATGAAAGTAATAGTCCTTCGGGACTCAAATCCCTTTGGACTAAGAACTGCACATATCTTTGAAGAATAATTTTCCTTAAGTATTGTTTCTTTCTTCAACATGTTTCCTTTTTATTTTATAATTTTTTGCTTTAATTAAGGATTTCTGTTTTTTTCTAAAAAACACTAAATGCATTTAGAATGTACAGAAAAAGTGACTAATTATATTTCTTTAGTAATATGAACATTCAAAAGAAATATGAAATATATATGGTAACGTGCTGACGTGGCAGAATTTTTAGAATTTAGTTACTCACCGACCAACAAAATCTAGAAAAGGTAAAACTTTTAGAATTTAGAGCAAGCATTGGAAGCAGAATTTATAAAGGTACTAGGCAGCAGAATTTAGGATTCACAGAGATTGCATCAGGCGGGAAAATGCTTAGTGCCAGCTGTGAATGATGCATTAAGACATATTAGATGAATCTTTTAAATTGTAAGTTTTCAATTTCTTTATTAATGAAAAAAATCCTTTTTATAATGCCTGCCCATGTGATAGGATTAGAAGCATTTTTTTATATTTTCCATGCTTGTGTCTAGAGAAAATAAAGGGAAGATAAACATGTTAAGATTCAAGTATCAGAAGTAAAACATTCAAATATTATGTTTTCATTGTTCTTCCAGACATTCTCCAAAAAGTAAGAAATTCATTGCACACTTTCTATAAAATACATCCATTATGTGTTGATACCATGCATTTTTCATTTTGTCACATATTTCTCGAATCTTCTAGAATCGTGGGTTGCCTTCAAATCCTTTTCCACTTTCCAAGCTGCAATGTCTAAAATCCTAAAGAAAAATTATCCGCTACCATTTCTGTAACAGCAAAAAGCCATAAATAGTTTGGGGAAAAAAAGGAAAAAAATGTAAAATTAATTTTATAGAGAAAACTGATGCACATTCTGAGACAATTACACAGGAAAAACTCTTACTATGAAAAAATTAAAAATACATGGCTAATCTTTGGAATATGGTAACAGGTAGTTTGGCGACATTTTGGTAAGGCGATAAAGGTTACTAGCTAGGACTTTAGCAGTGTACATGGATAAAGTCAAGAGTGTGCACAATGCCATTTTTGTGCAATTCTGGGATTTTTTTTAAGTGAAAATAGGTCGACGTGTACATGGATACCGTGTATGTGCAATTCTTAAAAATGCAGCAAGCAGTTTGCGATTCTGCACTTTCTCCCAATTTCGCACCTAATCTTCGTCATGATTAAGCACTTTTGTTCCATAAAAGTTCTAGCATATGCGTAATTCGGCTAGCAGATTGTTTGAAAAAAATGTTGGGTAAAAAAAGTAAATAAATAAATAAAAACATGCCTTTACTTCGTGAAAAACAAAATTGCATGGGGTAAAAAAAAAAAAAAAAAAAAGCAGCAGGTTGCTGTAGCACGGTTGGTCGCCAAATTTTCACCAAAAAATCGCGAAGTTACCATAATCCAAAGATTAACCAAATACATTTTTAATTAATTACGTAGCTAATTTTGCTTTGTGAATTGTGCTTTATTTTTATTTATTTATACAGTCAAAAGTCGTTAATCCGGACTCATCCAAACGTGCCTACATCAGGCCTTTCAGGTTTGTTCTAATTAGCAAGTCTCTCTAGGCAAGCAGCAGCAGTGACAGCATCCAGTCTTTTGTTATGAATCATGCTGATTATGACTTTACTTCTCATCTTAATCTATGCCGCTTAACATAAAAATTTACTTACTATTTACTAAACCTCTAGATTGAGCAAGTCTGTGACAAAATGAACATAAAGCGAACTGTTAGTAAAACGTAAATAAAATGACACTTGTCTTCTTTCAAATATGCCCAACTATTACTATACTTCTTTCAAATATGTCCAACTATTAAGTGTAATTATTTAATTCTACTTGATAAATTTCATAAAGTTTTTTGTTCGGTGTTACAAAAGTGAAGTTCACTCATAATACAGTCAAAAATCGTTAATTCGGACTCGTCGGGACTTCGGCGCTTCCGGATTATCGATTGTTCCGGATTTATAGATCATCAGTTTGAATCTGGTAAGATGGCATGCAGAAATTATAAAATTAAAAATATGAAACCGTAATTTATAAAATAAAGAACAATTATGATCTAGAGGGTATCAAAATTTACAAAAAGAAAAAGCTTAATATTTATTTGTTTACTTTATTAAACATTTCTTTCAATGTAAGTTGTTTAAGTTGCTTCGTTTTATGTGATAATACTTTCTCTTTAATTCTATAAACAGAGATAATTTCTTGTTCAGTGACAAAGTTCCCCTGTTCAAGTCCTATAATTGCTGTGTCGAGAATACCGCAATCGAAATTTTTTCGTTTTCAATAACCTCTGTGTCACTTTCTTCACTACCGGAAGCAAATTAATAATGACGAGGAATTTGATTTAAATCATATCAAAGACAGAATACATCGAGATGAAATACTACATTTAGTAAGGAATTATAAGCCAAATAAAATGAAAACATCTGCCCCGAAGATAAGGATAGTGCTGACAGATCAACTTCCAATTCATTGCATGCCGCGGCGTTCCCCCCTCCTCCCTGCAGGATAATACTTCTGATTTCTGATTCATATCACTAATTTTATCTGCCATACACGCTAACTTGCGTATATCTTCATCACTAACTAATAATATATTCTTTATTTAGGTAGCTTCTCAAGCCAAAATGATTTGATTAAATTTTCAGACACATCCGTAGTAGCAACTGATCTCAATTTTTGCAAAAGTTGTCTTTTGTCTCCAAGCTCAATATCAGTAATCAAACATTTAATCTGTACATTTTCACTTTCCTTAAATACATGTAACATTCTAATTTTAGCATCTGAATATTTTGTGGCACTTTTCGTTCGTTACAATATCCCAGATACTTCCGACTAACTTAGGTTCAAGTTGTGAAATTAAATAATTTAATTTCGTTTCTTCTGAAACAATATTACTGATTTTGAACTGCACCTTAAATTGAAAAAAAAAACATATTTCTGGCTTATCATCCCCAAAGAGGAGGTATTTTTACATTCCTCTTATGAAGTTCCAGCAACTGCACCTGCACCAATTCTTCTCCATGAGTCATTTGTTGTCATTTCAAAAATAAAACAGGGTCACCAGTATGTAGTCTTGACTACTGATATTCAAACTGCATTATAATTAGAAACAGCAAGAATCACTAACGAATAGCTAAGTTAGTGCTTTTATCTTTTTGCTATTAAATAAGGTGCTGCTTGAATAACAATAGAATCAACATTAGAAAACGGAATAATCACAAATCATTACTAGTTGCCATTCAGCGTAAAAGAAATATAAATATGAATAACTACTTGTTGCCATTCACCATAAAAGAAATATAAATATGAATATTAACAAAACATTAAAGTTAGTTTTACAAAATAATTAAACACATGCAAAAATATAAAATACTTGAAATAAAAAATAATTATTACTCACGCAATAACTACACATCTTAACATTATTTAGGAATACAGTTACTTTAATTACAGTTTGTGAATGCTTAGAATATACGAGTAGTTTATTTAATGTTACATTTAATTATAATCTAAAAATTAATTTTCCTTATTTTCGGAAAATTGGTTATCACAGTGGGAGAAATGTCTTGACATTTGGTAAATTCATTTAAAAATGTATTATACTTGTGCAATTAATAGCAAGCAAGCTTATCATTATTTTGGTTTTGCCTTTGTTTTTTCAGTTCAAAAAAACAAAGAAACAAGTTAACTTATATTGTTGAAAAATATTTTGTGTATTAAGTTTCTCATTTCAAGTAATCCTAACATGATCTCTTGTCATACATTTTTAATACCAATTGTGCAGCACTAGAGCATGAGAGATCTTGAGAAATTTCACAATTTTTAAAAATTAATGAGTTAAATTTATGCACTTAAAGCTTTACATGTTTTGCTGTGCTCCATTGCTCCTTTTTTGATGCATTTCAGACATAAGTAATTAAAAAATCATAAGATGCTCTTGCGAATTCTTTTATTAGAATTGTCAAGTTTAATTATGATTATGCATTTCTTTCCAAAGTTTTCTTGACACAATGTAATATAAATTGCTGAAATATTTAACTGATTTTTTTCCTCTTTCTGCAGGTGGTTCAGTTAGAGAACTTGGAGCTCAGTGGATCCATGGCATCGAAAATCCACTGTATGTATTTTCGAAAGCATATGAACTCTTAGCTGATAATTTAAATGAAATCTCTTATGAAGACAAAGGCCTATTTTGTACTCCTGCTGGGGCTGTTGATAAAATGATTATAGGAGAAGTTCAAAAAGTTTTAAATGATACAAAAAATGCCCTTGGTGAAAGCTGATATCCAGACAGTGATATTCCACAATCAGTAACCGAATATTTTTCTCATGTATTTCAGAAGTATTTGGCTAGTTGTTTTGATGACTATGATATATCTATTAAGTGGGGAATATTTAACTGGTTTTTGACATTTGAGATGATAGACAATGGTTCAGATGATTTAAGTGATGTTTCTGTCTAGAGTTATATTGAATGGGCTGATTGTCCTGATGATTTATATCATATAAACTTCAAAAATGGATTTAGTTCTTTGATAGACATTCTTAATTGTCAACTACCTGATAAGACTGTGCTTCTAAACAAGGCTGTCAAGAATTTAAAGTGGTGTAAAAACTTTTGCTACGATAGTTTCAATGAATTTTCATTAAAGCATCGATCTTGTGATAAACTTCCTGTTTGAGTGGAATGTGAAGATGGTGAAAAGATTTCTGCGGATTGTGTAATAATTTCTGCTTCTGTTGGGTTTTTGAAGGAAAATATGGATACGTTTTTCAGTCCTAGTTTACCTGAAAAGAAAATCAAAGCCTTATCTAATATTGGTTTTGGAACAATGGATAAAATATTCTTGATATTTGATGAACCTTTTTGGACTTCTGATGACCATGGATTTCAAATAATTTGGGCAAATGAAGATGAGAAAAGTATAACGCTTCAAAATGAGGTAAAAATTATCACTCTTCTTTAGTTTCCTTTTTTTTTCTCTTAAAATATGTAGCTGTTTTAATCTAATTTTATAGGAGTTAACTAAAATTTAATGCTTGAAATTTTTCATAATTGTTCTGTATCGATGATGGAGATAGTCTCTGTTCATCTAGTAAACTGTTTGGTAGCTGTAAGACAATATGTGAATCCATTGGAAGGAAATGGGCCTGTTCAGGAACGTGCACAAACTCAGTTAATACACAATTTAATATGTTCATTATAATGTAGATTTTTTGTGGCAACAGTGATGTTTTGTTATATACAGTCAAAAGCTGTTAATCCAGACTCTTCGGGACTTCGGCGATTCCAGGTTGTCGATTTTTCCGGATTATAGATCATCAGTTTAAATCTGGTAAGATGGCATGCAGAAATTATAAAATTAAAAATATGAAACCCTAATTTGTGAAATAAAGAACAATTATGATCTAAAGGGTATCAAAATTTACAAAAAAAAGCTTAATATTTATTTGTTTACTTATTAAGCTTAATATTTATTTGTAAACATTTCTTTCAATGTAAGTTGTTTAAGTTGCTTCGTTTTATATGTGATAATACATTCTCTTTAATTCTATAAACAGACATAATTACTTGTTCAGTTACAGAGTTCCGCTGTTCCAAGTCCTATAATTGCTGTGTCGAGAATAGCGAATAATTTGTCAATTGAAATTTTTTCGGTTTTCAATAACTTCTGTGTCACTTTCTTCACTATAGGAAGCAAATTATAATGATGAGGAATTTGATTTAAATCATATCAAAGACGGAGTACATCGAGATGAAATACTACATTTAGTAAGGAATTATAAGCCAAATAAAATAAAAACATCTGCTCTGAAGATAAGGATAGTGCTGACAGATCAACTAAAAATACATTGCGTGGAGTGGCGTTAAAGATGAACAAACGTTAAAGTTTAGATAAACAAAGGATATGCCTTTATCCATTTTTTGCTGCAGTTCCACTTTTTGTTTAATGGACTTCGAAACATACTTTCGCTTTGTAGATCCTTTACATATTAGTAAATATATATCCGAAATTCTATTTGACATAATCGAAAGTTCAAGCTTACTTTTATAAAATTGCTGTAACAGTCTGCAAAAAATAATAAGCCGGATCCAATTTGAAGATTAAGAAACAACGCAATCTGCAACATTAACTGAATTAGATAATTTTAGCTTAGCTTATACCGTCCATTATACATTAAATGCACATGCGTAAACGTCTTTTGCGCATGCGCACACGCATATTCGCAGCGTAAAGGTCTTGCGTCAACGCGAGACATGCGCAGAAAGTTTGTAGCTTTGAGGTCTGGATTGATCAGGTCTGATTGAGGTCTGGATTATGGGTGTCCGAATTAACGACTTTTGACTGTACCTTGTTTATTTTTCAGATTCAAAATATTGTATAATAAGTTGCCAAAATGAAACTTTATAATATGACAGTGAAAAATAAAAATGTTTTATTTTAATGTTAATTTTTAAATACAATTCCAAAATATTACCCTTATTTAAATGAAATTTATCAGTGTTACAATGTTCTTAAAAATATGATTGAAGAATTCCCAGATCTCGGAAATAAATATTTTCTGTAGAAACTGATCTTATCACCAAAATGTTGATAAGTCGCCAAATTTAGAACCGTTTAATAAAAGAATTCACATCCCCAAAAGAGAAAAGTTGTGTAAGAGGTCTTTATTAGAGAAATGAATTTCGAAATGCTTATGTTTCACTTCTTGCTTAGAAACTCGAAGATCCCATCATTTATATTAGAAATAGAAACAAATTATAACTCATGAACCCATTCAAAAGATAGCCATGTATACGTCAGTGAATCGCCAAAAATATTCCTCCAAAATGCTCATTCACACTCAAAATGGCAGTAGTAAAAACAGACAGAAGTTTGAGATGATTAAAATTAAGGACCTTCTGCTGATTTTGGCCAAAATTAAGGACTTTTAACGACCAAAAATCCGTTCAAAAAAATCTAAGAACTTTTAAGGACCATACGAACCTTGTGATTACCTATTATTTTCCTTTGTCTCTCAGTGCATAAATAAATATATGTAATTTTGAGATAAACAAATCCCCGTATCTACAAATTGTATGCGTTATTGTAAGACAACCATCACTCTTTTTAATTGCTTACCAATAAATTCACAAAATATTCATCAAAAGAGGTGCCAGATGATGCTGGCTAAAATACCCTATTATGCTGCTTCTATCACGATAAGAATATAGTTAAAAGCAATTTAAATGATGTATATAATGAAAAATTCATCCTACCTTTACGTCAATATCCAAAAAGCCTCCTTCAGCTACTTCAAATGTCAAACCCATTTTTGTACCGGCCGTTACTTTATCAAAAAAACATTATTCTGCATGGGCATCTACACATACAAAATAACAGTTAATGAAGGGCAAGAATACTGTTGCAAGAAATACAGTCTGTAAAACTGATAATTTGTGGGAAATGATATTCATTTTTAACTAATTATAGGTCAATCAAAATTTGCTCCTAATATTAATAGCCACGTTCATTTATGTTTCACGGACGGAGTCAGAAACATTGCAGACGTTGCCACTTACACAAAATTCTATCTACTAAACTTGATTTTTAAATGGTTAGGTTCCAAAGCATGTAATTTTTACACATGTCCTAACAGACTGTAGAAACATTAAGGATAGAAAAAATTATTCGCTCTTCTAAACAACTTCCAATCCTTAATTTCCTTGTCATGTAAGTTATATTTATATGCGTTATGTGGTCAGCCATCAGGATTATCGGTGATCCTACTTAAATTCAACACTAACTGGCATTACGATTTTCATGGTTGGTCTGATGCCGACCGTTGAGTAGCACTATCTGTGCGAGAGTAATAAAAATCAAGCACCTCAGTGGAGAAAGAAAGAAATTATTATAATTGCTTGAGAGATAATCTGCTATCTTTTCATCGTATAAGCCGAAAAGTATGTATCATAATATCTCATGTCTTTTAAATGGTTTCGTATATTGTTTTGTAGTTTGCAGTGCATGCCATTCTGGTACAAGTGTATTTTTGTATAGTGTATATCCGATGTGCTATTTTGGTGCATTCTAGCGTTTTCCTCACTGTAAATATTGTTTACTGTAGAATTATAGTGCGAGATTTTCTCTTCCTAAGTCAAGAAGCACTGTCAAATTATTTTGAATATATTTTAAAAGTGCTTGTATTAGCTTATTGGGCTTATTTAGATTAACAGTCTGTGTTGAATGAATGATTTTGCATAACTTAGTGTAATAAAATTTATTTCCCAAATCATTTTAACTGTTTGGTCATTATAATATTGCACTAGCTTAGAGTAAGAAACCAAACTCGATTTCTTTTTACATATTAATCAGTCTCTTCTGAGCGATTTTAAGTAACTAATATTTGAAGTTACTATGAAAGAGCTTATCTGTGAGATTTCATATTATTCATAGAAGTAAAAATGTTTTATTCTAAAAAGAGTTTTGGTAACAATACATGGAATCTCAAATTTGCTGTTGAGTGTTTTTTCGGAATAATTGACTAAATATAAATTTATGCTGGCATTTTATTTAAAAACAACGTAAACAAGTTCACTTTTTTAAAAATTATCTATTGATATTTAAAATGGATTTTAAGTAAATTTGTAATCATTTTTCCAAATAGATTATATGTATACTATACATATATAGATTATATATGTATATATATATATATATACATATACATATACATATATATATAATATATATTGCAATAAGTGAAGTTGATGACATTTACGCATGTGGCATTTTACATTTTTGGTCTATATTTTAAATTAAATATGCTTTCCTTAAGAGAATAAAAGGTATCTTAGAGTAAGAGGTCTGTTATTTTTAGTTGTCTATCTTACATACGTATATAATATGTTTTGCTTTTTAAGAGGAAGAAATATTAGTAAATGCAGAAAAAATATTTAGTGTTTGTCAATTCTTTATCAGATTTTCTCATTGCCACATGTTAAATACTCTCTTTTAGTGTAATATGATTAAAACTTTTTAAATTTATTTCCGTTTTATAATTAATTTTTTTTGATACAGTGAGAAACAAGCAATCTATATGCTGAATTAGTAGAATTACCAAATATGTGGCCTAATTGGTTTTTCTGGTGCCATTTGTCACCAAAGATAAGCAAACCCAAATAATAAGAAATGTATAATTTCTGAGAACTGTCGATTTATCATAAAGGGAGAATGAAAGCATATTTGACATAACGCGCAAATTTGTGAAAATATGCATAAAATAGAGTTATGTAAATCCATGGAAATCATATGAAGATGCAGTGTGTAAAATAGCCAGGAGGGAAGAGGCTTTCATGTTATTT